CTTGTTTACCAAAAGCCACGCGTAAGTCAAGTAACTTACATATCTTGCCGCACAAAGAATGTCATATTAAAACACTTGACAAACAATTCTTATTTCATGCTCTGCTCGTCGCTGAAATCTCAGCTAGCATATTAGAGTGGCCGAGGCTCCTTTGAGGAAATCCCTATGTTCAATTGACAATACGCATTCTGAAACAATGTGAAAAACGAAGCAAGATGGAGGCGTAATATGCTTAAACGCTGATCTTATAATCAGAAAGAGCTTTACCTTTGCCTCATGAGTTTTCTGAAGGAAAACGTCATGTTGCGACTCTGTTCAGAACGATTCATACGGTCTTCTATTTTCGAAAGTTGTACATGGGTTTGTACGACCTGCTTCGGCCAGTGACTTTGCTGTTTTCTCCTCAGGACCAGTCGATTCGTCGTTTTGCTTCATTGCACCTGTTGCCCCATTGGCGTGCTTTGGAATCAGAAAATTCTTTGGCTTTCTGAAGATTGATTTGCAACTACGATTATGAAAAGCAACGCAGATTTCGAAATTATTAATTAAAACAATGAAATTATTACAGCGGTAAAAATCTGAGGAGCATACGCACAGAATTCATGAGCGTAACGTCGTCCTGTAACTCTAGGCTGTTTCAAAGTTATTTCCCCGCGTACGGCGTAGAATCAGCAACAATCGATCCATTTCCTTCGAGAGGCAGGGTAGTAAAAACGAATCATTATACATGGTACGTTTAGTGTTCAGCTGTACATGTACTTGATTTATTAATCGCCATTATACTCAAAGGGTTCCCACTTTTTCTACTGTTCCTTGACTGACATGCGCACGGTTGATCACTTAGCGAAAATCATCTACAGTTTGCCCACTCATTCGTCGCGTCGAATTCGCCTTCTGAATGGGAAGCATTAAGTGATTACAGAAGTGCTGGAAGACAGTTCAAAACTTGAAACAGTTTTGCGACGGAACAGCAGGTTGAGGCGAAAATTATGCCCTTTGCCGTAACAACAAGCGGCACTGTAAATTTGAAACAACATTTTGAATTATAAGACCACAAATCTGGCCTGTTCTGCTGTTCGAACGTTGCTAACCTCAGACTACCTCAGAATGACAACAACAGCTACCTCGCATTAAAAGGAAACGTTCTTCATGTGGGAGATGAAACACGACAAACGTCGATCAGAAGATCAACATGCATCGTGGAGTAATAAGGTGGAGGCATATCTGCTTTTGGACAAAAATTGTTCTTTCTAACTAGTAACCAATGCTTTATGGCGCATATATTAAAAAGCTGCCAGTACAGCGGATATCATCAACCGGAAACTCTCTATTTATGCAAACTGTTCAAGGTGATGATCTTGACAAACATCCACACACATCTGTCAGATGTGCGTTATTTGTAGAGGCAATATTTAGAGCCGTATTGCAATCAGAGATTGCAGTTTCCTCTTTCCCTCCCACGACGCTGTCGTCTAACCCAGTGTAATGACATGTATAATGGCACTAGTGGCGCAAACCAGAGGTAGTTGACGTAAGCCGTATATTTTTTAAAGAACATGAATGAAGGCACGATAACGAACTTGACTGAACTCATGCTGTTTTGAAAGTTTTAAGAAAACGAGCCAA